TGTTTCTTAGATCTCCTTTTTTCTCTCCCCCCCCCCCCGCCGCCGCCGCCGTCCAACAACCAAGCGCGTCGATTTTACGACGGACGAAAGCGACGGATCGTTTCTTTGCGGACGCGCTCTCCGATAGATCGATTCGTGTGTGACCAATCGTGTGTTCGATACGACAGTTTGAAATTAGAACGGCTAATATCCTCCTCCGACTCGGAGGCGAGAAACGAGACGCGTACGGCGTTGCGCAGCGAAACGGGGTGTACACGATTGTGCAGCCTCGCCGAAGAAGAGGCCATCGCCGCGCCTTGCCCGCACTTTTACCATCGAGTCATTCGTCAGGTGACACGACTTTGCGGCGCGTCTTCGTCTTACGAAATGGGATAATCCCGTTTAGCAATGCTGATGAGGCAACTCCGAAATAACTATCCCGATTTCCCCGTTACGGCGCTCTCGTGACCGTCCACACGCGTGAAAGCGGGGTACGCCTCGAGTGTGTAAGTGTGCGCGCGTGCGCTTCGATCGAACAATTAAACAATTGTCGGGGGGCCGACCCACTTCTCGCCAGGACTCGTCGTCCTTCCTCGTGCGTGCCACCGTGTATAGCACTTTCGATCAGCTTCATGCGCGCGGCTTCAACCATTCGGATTGAAATCGCTCGATCGCGTGCGCGCCTGGCTTGTCTACGATGCCATGAACGTCCCGAACGCGCGCGGACAGGATGCCGGCGTGAATTAGAAGCGAAGGATCTCGGAGGGAGACTGGAAAGATTTCCCGGCTTGTTCTGAAAAAAAAAAAAACGACAAGAGAGACGTCCCGCTTGAAACGAGGGATGAAGATCGGGATTCATTTCGAAGTCGGCATTCATGGGTGACTTTCATTTGCGAAGCGATGATCCCTCGGATATTCCTCGCCAAGCTGCGACGCGTTCGCGGGAAGATCCTCCCGCGATTAACAATTAGTCAGCCCAATAATGTTGTCTCGCGCTATATCGCCCGGATTGCTACCTGCTTTTCTTTATCGCCACTTGCCGATGATAGATGATAGGATCGACACGGGCGATGCGCTAAAACTACCCATTACCAGCGCGCCTCGCCGATCACATCATCGCGCGGTTAATAAGGTAATAAGTACACGCGGGATGAATAATCGCGCGATTCGGCCGCCGGTCCCCGCGCGCGCTGCGATTAACTGTGGCAATAAGAAAGTGTCTACGTCACACGCGGATTAATTGCCGCGGGGCTCCCTCGTGTGCTTTTCGACGCGCCGACGAAAGAACGCACTCGGGACGGATCGTTGTTCAATATAATGAACTCTGAACGATCGCATGAACGGCTGCCGAGTCCTCCAACATCGATCGACGGGGGCTCTCTGGGGAGAACAGGCGGCGGCGCAACCAGAAATATCCTAATCGGCTTCGTTCTCGGGAACATGGTCGAATCGACCAATTCCCTGACGATTTCCTGAGGAGTTCCGATTGAAAGCGGCCGAATTCTGCGGCGACTCAACGAGGAATCTCGATAATAATTCAGGCCTCTCATTTAGAATTCTGCTAACTCGATCTCACCAGAAAATTCTTTCATTCTCGACCAGACATTTTTCTCCGCGTAGGACTAAAGCCTCCTACTACTAAGGCAGACCGGGCCTAAGGAGGTAAACGCGAGCGTACGCACGCGGGCTACGCTTTAGCACGAAAATCTCGCGCGAGGCTCGTTATCGGCCGATCGAAATTATAATCGCGGCATTAAGTGGCGGCTTCGCGTCCGAGTGAAAGTCCAACACGGGGCGTCGTCGCCCATCCCGTCTTATACGACTTTGCGCGCCCGTCTATGTACGTCCGCGTCTTTGAGCTCTCTCTCTCTCTCTCTCTCTCTTTCGCGTGCGCGCGCGGCAGCACGCGGCAAGCACGCATCTCGTATCTAATTATCGAGGAATGCTTTGTGCGTGTAGGAAGCCGCGCGCCGGGGCCGTTCGGGCCTTAACGACTCGGCGCAAGAAAAAGAATCGAGCGCGCACGAGTGAGATTGAGAGGTAACGAGAGAGAGAGAGAGAGAGAGAGAGAGAGAGAGAGAGAGAGAGAGAGAGAGAGAGAGAGAGAGAGAGAGAGAGAGAGAGAGAGAGAGCGCGCGCGCAAGAGAGAGAGAGGCAAGGCGGTCGGGAAGGCGTGAGCGCGCGCACTTACGCGCGATTTTTCGGCCGATTTCGCGCCCCGCGCCCCTTTTTGCCGCGGCTTTTAGCGCGGCTTTCGCAACACGTGTCGGTGCATTATCGTCGGCTCGCGGGTAGGCGTCTCCGGCATTAACCCAGAAAGAGGAGTCGCGTGAAACGTAATTTGCGCCCACCCCCCCTCCCCTTCTCCGGGCTGCCAGCGAACTTTCGTTCGCGCCTTTGCATCTTGCATTCTGAGCGTTCGCTAATCTGTATGACTCACTTGTCGATCGTGAGTTGATCGAAAGTTCGCCATTGCTGAGACTATCTCTGGGAGTCGCTTCATCATTCGCCGCGACTTGGTTTTTAACGCGCGACTGATCGCGTCGCGTTGAGAGAAACACCACCCTGGTGCTCTCGATCCAATGAATCGACCGGGCTAAATCTCCTCTCGCCCGAGCGCCGAGGCCGATCTTATAATTTCGACGAGTGCTATTCTCCACTTTCATCATTTTCGACCCTCCTGATGACCGTGGGGCGAGAGGGGAGAGCAGGGGGTTGCGACGAAACGGCGAAAATTATACACTGGTGGGCAACGCGCGGACCGCCCAGCCCATTCATTCACACTCGGATTCCCAAAGGGCGGGCCATCGCTATTCTTTACGCGCGACGTGACGGATAATTAATAATTATAAAGCGATCAGCGGAAGAAGGGGCGGCAATTGCGCGCTATGCGCCGCGGTAATTTCCGATTCGCTTGTGTGCGCGAAACACGAGGATTCGCATCGGGCTCACTTTCGTCTTCGCCCCGGAGGACTCGTTCGCGAAAGGCGCTCGCTCGCACGCGCGTAAAATCGCGTTTAAATGGCGGCTCGTTTGGCGCGGCGCGAAAACGCCGCAGAAAATCACGCGTTCTCGGCCGCGGGAACTCCGTCTGCGTTATCGCGCCAAAGAAGACACGGAAATTACCGCGGGACGTTTCGCGGTAAAATGTAAATTCATAACAATATCGCTAAATTTATGTTATACATATATATATATATATATATAAAGTAACCAATATCACATATATAAAATAAAGTTGTATAATATACAACACACAACAAATCCATTGCGCTTTGATAACACGCGCATTAATAGAAAAAAAAGAGAGAGAGAGACAGAGAGAGAGAGAGAGAGAGAGAAAAAAGCAAACGTGGAATGTCCTCCTTCCGGCGAGCGGTGGATTTCGTGGGGAAAAGTAGAGAATTCGAAAGTCGGCGGCTAGAGATGTCGGACGCGTGTCGGAGGATTCTGACAACGCCGAGATCGCGCGGACCATCGGCGCGATACCGTCTCGCTTGCCGGAGTCCGTTTATCGGCTCGCGCGCGCGATTCCGCCGTCGTATTATCGATTATACTCGGACTTGCGTTGCTAACGCAAGCCAGCCAGCCAGCCAGCCAGCCAGCCAGCCGCGTCCACCGCGTCGTCATTATGGAAATAGCGAGTGTAATACGTCGGGGAGGCACACGGCGGATGATTGCGCGCGGGCTCGCCGTGTGGCATCTCTAATACAGGGAAAACACGCGTTAACACGTGTTTGCTTTAGGCACCTCTCGGAATCGGCGGCCGAACAATCGCTCGAGACCTGCCGAGATTGCCGGAGAAAGCACCGTGTGGGGACCTAATTCACCAGCGAGCGTTAAACACTCTCGCAAATACGCCCGTCCCGAGGTGTCCGCTCGAAGAAACAGATCAACCGAATTTCGCGTCTCGGAAGTAAAACTCGAGATGGATATCGACGAAGAGAGGATGAATCCGCCGTATAAAATCATCGAGTAACGCGTTTTCCCACGGAAACGTTCAAGCGTGAAGACAAATATATTTACCCACAGGGTGCGGGGTGAATAGTAAATAAATATACGGCACGGGAATGCGACGAGAGCCTCTCCCGAAGAGGAGCGCGCGCGAGTCCTCTACGACGAGAGTTCTTCCTGACAAAAGCCTCGTCGTATTTACGGAGGACCGAGAAACAACAAACCGACGTCGCAGGCGGAGGATCGATACGAGATCGAACGTTCACTCGGGAGAGACAGTCCGAGCGTGCGCTCGCCCTTTGTCGATCAAGGCCGGCCGACCTCGAGCTCGAGTCCAAAGCCGCCACACGCGGCTCGGAAGGGAGGAAAAACCGCCCGCGAATGCGCGAGACACCGCGGCTGCGTAAGCACCGCGCGCGCAATAACTCGAGCGTAATCGTCGAGGAGAACGAACGGGCGAGCGAGTCGCCGTGTACGGCGCGGACTTTCATGCACGCGCGGAATAACAAGCCACGTCGCGCGGTACACCGACCGACCATCTTCTTCTTCTTCTTCTTCTTCTTCTTCTTCTTCTTCTTCTTCTTCTTCTTCGTCTTCTTCTTCTGGTTCAAGGCCACGGTGGCCGTCGTCAACCCTTAAGCGACGTCCACACGCGGCGACGCGTGCTCTCCGACGCGATTCTAACGCCGGCCGATGCATGTTTGTGCTCTCGAAATAACATTGTAGCCTTCGCCTGGCCCGAATCTCCGTCCGGAGCGCCGAGGATGCTCCGACTTTGCGCGAAGATCAGAATTCGAACGGCTGACGCGCGATGTCTCTCTCTCTCTCTCTCTCTGACTCGCCATCATCGGCAACGCCAGGTACGCTATTTGAATATCGCGCTACGTATCTTGCTCTTTTCTCGACTGGAGAAAGAAGTCTGTAGCGCGCGTTGAGTCATCATTACGCAAGACGACGTGCTTTCGGCGTGAATTGACCAGACCGATCGTGGCCCCGCACGTGCGCCAGCACGGTCGCGAACGGTCGCGTGGCAGGCTGGCAGGCAGTTTAATTTGCGCAGGACTTACCTCGTGCGCCTGATCCTCGATGCTCCGCAGAACCGCGAGATTGCGGATAGTCGCGCGTCGCGACTCGAACGACGACTCCAGCCTGGTGGCGGCCTTACCCACCTCCTCCACCAGTCTCCGGGCTCGTTTCACCGACAATCTGGAAAGATAAAAAGGAACCGCGATCGTGGTGGCTGTACCGTTAGGAATTCGCGTCTCCTTCCCCTCGCATGCGAGAGATCGAACTCTGACTCACGCAGCGAGTCGAAACTGAGGAGCGCGCGCGCGCGGCGAGGTTTGCTCCTTATCTCTGCGAGTCCGAGTGTCCTTGGCCGATACGGCTCATAAGTATGCGCGCAGGCCGACGCTAGTTCGGCGGTATATCAAGCCACCGACAACCGTCAATTTCGTGAATTAATGCGCGATCGCGATCGACTGCCGTCTGGCCGGCCGCGGCAGAAGTTACTTCGCGGATGAATAGATGTAGAATGTAACTGTGATTGGATCGTAGCGCCGCGGCGAGAGAGTGCGATACGAAACGATACGCCTATGAATATTTCAAAGGTATATCACACACCGGGGAAGGATGCGGAGGAATTAATCGGAATAACTCGGAGCCTGTCCGCGTGCTCTTTTGTCCGGGCGGAGGCATCTCTCGCGACGAGCGACGAGCGACGACGTCGTCGTCCTACGGCGATTCCCGCTCGCTCATTACAGACATAAAATTCCGATCCTACCTAACGTGCTCGACGTGCAGGAGCGGGGCCGCGCGTTCCTCCAGCGCGGCGATGGCCTCCTCGGCATCTCTAGACGTTCTTCTCAATGTGGGGTCCGTGAGGAGCCGACCGAGAGGCGTCAAAGTGCCGGACAGGCTCGTGCATTCCTTCAGCTCCGACATTTCGAGGGCCAATCTGCGACCGGCTGATTGCCACTCCGTCATGAGGCCGTCGTACTCCTGCGGGGAATCAAAATACCGATCGCTCGTCAATCTGCCCTGCTGCTTCTGACCCCCGCGAGAACAAATGTCCTTGGAGCATGGACGCGGCCCGGGCGGAATGCCGACGGCGCGGCGGTCAGCCGCGAAAGTAGACACGCGCGCGCGCGCGCGACTCGACGAACCGCCATCGATCGCGCGATCGGCACGACACGGACGGAGAGCACATTGCTCCGAGCGGTACGTAACGGCTGACGCATATCCATTACACGCGGCGACAGATACGAAGCCGAACTATTATCTCGCCGATTTCTCGGCTGCAATTGCGGCGCTCGCAGCGCCGCAAATACCGATCGCGTTAGGTCAACTCGCGCTCGCCCAATGTCGCGCGCTCGGCAGCGATTCGACTGATATCGGCTCGGCTCGCCGAGGTGTCTCATGTACTCGCCGTGCGGTTCATTTCACTTTCCATTCATACGATAACGCACATGCCTCCGCGACGAAGCGGAGAAGCAGAAATCGGTTGCAGCCGATTCAGCAGCCGGTCGTTCCTTTCTCACACTGAGAGAAAAGTATGTGATATTTGGAATTATAATGATATAGTAACTAAATTATAGTCCGAAATGTCATATTTACAGTAAGTGTTACCGTAATATCGGTATAATAATTACGATATAGGCGTAGTAGTAACCAACCATATAATATTTTTACTAAGAATTATAGTGAGTTAAAAGCTAAAATTATTATACGGATACAAATATAAAATGGTAGGTAAAAGTAACTCTTTTATATCAAGTCAATATTACCAGAATATTTGCTGGATGATGACAGATGTAACTGTGTGAATATTAAATCTCACTATATCTGTGAATTGAGAAATTACCATATATATGTGGTAAAAGTAAATAAACTAAATTATTTGAGACAATCATTGACTATATATTTGTGTTTATTCTACTATATCATGTAGGTTCCACGAACTATAAAAATATGCTTGACGCCAAAATGAACAAAATATACAGAATACAGTGAGATTATAGTTAATTCAACTATATTTTTCTATCAGTGCAGTTGAGACACGAGAGATACGATCGATGCGAAAGATCCGATGGAAATCGCCCGATGAATGCTTGACACACCGACCATTCCCCCTCTCGTGTGCTCGAGTGAGATCAAAGTATCCGCGGAATTTTGTAAAAGAATTCGATACACGAATCCGTTCCTTGGCGCGCACAGACACGATCGTGAAATATCTACATATTTCTGGCGTCCATCGATTCTTCGGTCGCGATCTGGCCGCGAGAGGCCGGCGAGAACGTCGCCGAAACGCCGGCGGAATGATTTCGCGCGAGCGATCGCATCCAAGCTTCGCATCTCGTCAAGTAGCGCCGATCATCGCTTGTGACGTGGAACGACAAGCCGCGATAACAACAATTTGTCGCCGAGCTCGCTCCTCCGCTCCGCGATCCGCATCGCGATACTCGCGATTGAGCGATCACGAACGAGCCTTCGTTGCGCAATACGACGCGCGACGCAACAGTGATTGAATCCTTTCTCGTTCTCACCGCGAATTATGTCAGTCACGGAAGACGGCAAAAATCGGCGAGTACTTCATCATGAGACATCCGCGAGACTCGCGTGACTCGCGAGTCGTGAAATTAATTACAGCTTATTAAAGGAACCCCGCGCGGGGAAAGGTTAATGTGAGTCTGCGGATTCACCACAGGCTCACTCGTCTAATTGACGATTATCGCTCGGCCGTTCATTGACGCAATTATCGCGCTTGCTTTCCCGACCGCCGTGGTCTCTCGAGTACCCCGCTGACTCGCGCGTCGCTTACGCACGTCGCTCACGCGTTCACTTCAGTCGGCCGAGCCTCGCGAGCGAGCGAGCGAGCGAGCGAGAGTACTCGCGCGCGACCGACAAGCACAGCTATTCGCCACGGCGAGCGAGGGCATAATTACCTTATAAAAAGCGATCCATAGCATCTGCTCGTGATTCTCTTCTCGCCTGGGAATATACTTGGCGAGAGTGGCGTCATTCACGACGACGGCCTGAAAGGGAAGCGTTCACGGCTAATTATATATCGTCGCCAAGTCGCTGAAAACGATCGCGCGAGCGCGATCGTAAATTACGCTCGTTGCCGGCAAGCGCAAGGAGGGCCCGGCACTTTCGCGCGACACTCTTGTCGCCGCGGACGACACACACACAAAAGTGCCTCCCCCCCTCCCACCGGGCATAATGACAATAACGCGCGTCCAGTGCGCGCAATTACCGCCGCACGTGCGCGCGTGCTTAAGCAGCCGAATATAATGCAGCGTGGAATCTGGATCGGCCTCGCGCGCGCGTACAATGATCGTCGAGAAACGACGGAGGGAGAGAGGGAGGAAGGAAGGGGGAGACAAAAACGGGCAACGATCTTTCGAGCGCGGCTACTTTCTTGCCCGTGGGAAGACGCGCGCGCGCGCCGCTCGCGGATTGAATCGCTCGTCGGCATGAACGAAGAGGACTCACCTGGACGCTGCTGAGAGGTAAGATCGACTCGGCGGGGCCGTCCACCGGCGCGGCGACGGCGCGGAGCACTAGAGCGACATTGATCCTGCCCTGCAAAAGCGACAATACCGCGCGTCATCGTGGGACAAGGTTCAGCCGGCGAGAGGCCGACGACTCTAGCGATGGGCAAAGCATCGATTCTGATTCTCTTGAAAAATCAGACCCCGATATGTTTGGGGCCGATTATTCCCTAGATCGATTATTATTTTTTTTCCGTCGATTATATTACTAGATTTGTCACTAAATTTTCATCACTAGGGAATTTGTTTACTACTATCAAGACCCGTTTGCAACAGCTGCGAAAATAAAGCAGTAACAGTAAACAGTAGAAAATAAATCAACAACAGTCGACTGTTGTAAGAACAACCGACTTTAATTGGTTTATTTCTCGTAGCTTACACTTACAGTCTTATTCTTATATAAGGCTTATTGTATAAGGCTGCCATTGTAAAAGGGTCTTTAAGGTTTTAACAATATATTAATTTATTGTTGCAACATCCGACTCTTCACATTAATTTAAGATAAACTAGGGAAACATCGATTATTGTCGATATTTTTAAGAAAATATCGATTACGCAAGACCGATCTTTTTGATCGATCGATTGAATCGAAGACGATGCTTTCCTTCGACGAAGCCGATCCCTACCGACGACTCTCTTACCTGCAGCAGCAGCAGCACGTTGTCCACGAAGTCCAGAGTCTCCTTGGAGTCGGCGCGCACGAAGAGCGTGAAGCCGTTCTTCGTGTGATCGGAGCTGAAAAACGAAACACACAGGTCGGACGTTAAATCGCAGCAAAGTATTATTTTCCTTCGATCGACGGAGCGACCTTAATCGTCGTCGAGATGGTTGGACTCGACTTGCATCTCAAGTGCGCGCGCGGTCGCGTCTTCGCGCTGACGAGCCGGCGTGTGAAATCAATATCCGAGAGAGAATGTTCGGTTTCCGTTTCGGAGGAGACAGCCGAAGCGCGACTGCGTCGGAATTAAGCGTCGCCCGCCGAATAGTCCGCTCAGCGCCGGCTCCTCGAGTGCTTATCCGGCGTATTTACGGACGTGAAATTTCCTAAACAAATATTATCGTTCCCGCGCGAGGAACTCCGAGCGCGCATACGTGGGTCGCAGATGCTAGTCGCACGCGCGACTAGCAGGATCTCCCACGTGTCGCGCGCACGTGGAAAGTGAAACGTGTCGCTCCATTGTGCAGCAATATACTTTTGCGAATCGACACACACGTGTGCGGGGCCGACGCGGTCGGGCGAGAAACGGGCTGCTTAAATCGTCGCGTCGCTCCCCGCGACATGTTTGCCATTCGGCCGGCGGGTTAAGGTTACGGCGAAGTGCTTAAATCGCGCTGACCACCGCACCCCAGTGGGGGGGCCAGATGACATTCTTTGGTTGAAAATGCTCTAGAGACCTGAATTTCCAACCGATCATCGACACCGATGGACGAGAGGTGGATCCTGAATAAATTCCGAAGAGATCTGTCTCGCCAAAATTAAAAAAAAAAAAAAAAAAAAATTTTTCTCTCGAATTACTAGCTCCAAAGGAGGAGAAATTATCGATAAGCGCGAGAAACTTATGAAACACTCATTATTCGACACTTATTTCTATCTAATAGCGTATTCAGCGGATTGAAACTATGAAACCAATCAACAGACACCTCGAGATTTATCGATCTTGAACTAGAAACCCATTAACCCAAAACTCATATGCCAAAAATACAAAAACATCAAATGTAGATTAAGCGTTAAGCGTAAAACCGAGGGATCTTAATCCTTAATTCTTTCTCAATGTGGACTGAAATGATGAGCTTTGAAATTCTGAGTTTTCTAACAGGTGATTATAAGTTCTGGGGTCTCGCATTTAGTATCCATAGACTCGAACCCAAGACACTGTACCTTAAACGATAAACTTTTAAGACAAACCCGTAAACCCATGAACCCTGAACCGATAATGTTTTCAAAATCTCGGCTAAACAGATCTCTTTGGAATTTATTCAGGATCAACCTCGTCCCTTTTGTGTGTAAAATTATCACTATACCGTCGCCATAAGAGCGCTCATTGAAAAAACCAATTCTCCCGACTACAATGATCTCGCCGCGCGATTATTTACCTTTCTCTCCATCGCGCGTGATCGACGAAACAAACGAATTAACCCCCCCCCCCCGCTCGAATTAATCAAGTTACCACGCGACCCGAAAATAATCTCGCCAAGGTGCGGTCGCACACCGGAGCGCGATTTACAGTACAGCATCAATGAAGCGGTAGCCAAAGAGATAAGCGTAAGTGCGATCTCTCGGCCGACTAAACATAACCCGGTTGTACCGGCGTATCGCGAACGACGCTCACTTATGACACGTGGGTGGCTCGCGTCAAGTAGACGGCGTTTCTCACGCGGCTCCCATGGCACTCTCTCGTCGCGGTGTGCAAGCGGCCGCACAATGCCGAGCTCGTGTGCGCGTGTATGTGTGTGTGTGTGCGCGCGCGCGCGCGCGCACACGGTCGCGTTCCGATCTATTCTAAATTGTCATCAGCGCGACAGGCTACGGTCGAAGCGGGCGCGTAAATTTCTACCTCCGCGCCGTTCTACCTACTTCCGCGGCTCTGCGACCGTCGTCGTCGTTCTCTCGATCTCGCCATCGCGGCGCGCAATCGACAGGCGGAACTCGCCGAGATCCGTACGTTCCCGTCCGTTCGTGGGAGACGAGAGAGAGAGAGAGAGAGAGAGAGAGAGAGAGAGAGAGAGAGAGAGAGAGAGAGAGAGAGAGAGAGAGAGCGCCGGCACGGGGACGCCAATGCGCGAATGCTTCGTGACAACCTTCTCAAATTGCACGTGCAACTGCGCGACTGCGAGAACTTGGAGCGGCGGCGCACGTCGCGTCCCGCCGTTCCCCGTCAAACTCAACGCGCGGCGCAAATCGTACGGCACCGAGTCGATGTTGGCCGCGTTGGAGTAACTTGTTCGGGCGATAGCGAACGAGATAAAATCAAATCGCCGTCCCGACTTCTTGTCGTAGCGCGTCCATTACGGAGTCACGGTGAAGGTAACCTTCGAACCCGGGGGAAGATCGTGTTCCCGGACTTCACCGCCGTGGAACGCTCGCAGTGGCGATCTTCGCCGGTGTTCTCGGCTGCACTTTGTTATCGCACAGCTGAAAATTAATATCCGACCTCTGTCCGTTCGATTCTCTTTTATCCGCTCTCTGCCCTCCTTCCAATGCAAGCAAAGCACATTATTTTCACCCGCGTACTCTCTCTCTCTCTCTCTCTCTCTCTCTCTCTCTCTCTCTCTCTCTCTCTGTCTCTCGGCCGCAGCTCGGCGAATCTCTCATTTAAAACGCGCGATAACGGATAAGAAGACGCGTCCACCGGGCAATCCGTCGAATCCATCCGGGTCATAGCCATAATGACACGTCCCCGAGGTGCAGCGGCGCGCAACAGTCGCGTCGGCGGCAGCGGTCGTGGCCCGGAAGCGACGATCGTCGCTGATAAGTGAATCACTTCGATTTCGCCGAGTTAACGCCGCGCGACGCCCACGCTCGCCTCGCCTCGCCTCGTCGTCGGGCTCATCAGCGCGCGATGTAAGCGCGCGCGGCCGTTGACGTATGATAAATATAGGTGTACGTGCTGCTCACTCGCCTCTCTCTCTCCCTCTCTCTCCCTCTCTATTCCTCTCTCTTCTCCATGAGCGTCCCTTTACGACGCGACTCGCGGTAACGGCAGAAACGAGACCGACGAGGACGGCCGCGAGGTGACCGTGTCGGCGACGATCGCCGTTAGCGCGTCGCCTAAATTGCACATCCCACGCGTCGAGATAGCTAATGACAGAGCGATAGATTTTGTCGCGCTCCGCGTTCCCGAGATTCTGTTGCCACGGATGGCTATGTTTCCGCCTGTGACATCGCACAGAAAGGGACCCGATGGTCACGGCGATTTTGACCCATTAAGGGGACTGGAGGGTCAGATTACTGAAAAATCGTGCTGGTTTTTTGATAATGATTTCGCGACGAACTGAAAAATTTGTGCAAGAATGAAAATTTTTGATATATTTATATAACGTATGAAGAGTAGAAAAATTTTGTTTATTAACAGATATTCATATAAATATACGTCTGCTTTAAATTTCAAGCGCGTTTCTCTCGAAATTTTATCGTTAGGTTGTTCAACTTTCTGCAGTGATTTCTCCGAGACTGAGCTTCGTGTCGATTTGAAATTTTAAAGCGATAAAATTTGTTCATCTGGCTCTCAGGTGAACCATGGACAACTCCGTCAAAATATTTCATTTCGAGATATTAATTTTTTTATTTTTTATAAAAGAACTGAAAAATTTGAATTTTTTCCTAATAATAGCTGCCATTTTGTTAATTTTGTTCGATTTTTTTTTATAGTGCTTCACCGGATAATGATAAGCCTCCTTAAGATTTTTAGCTAAAGTTCGCTCTCGTCGGATCACCGAGAGCCGAGATATTACTGTATAAAAACGACTGTAAAAACTTGAAAAAAAAAAAAAAAGGAGAGTATATTTCAGCTATATATATATCGTATATCGTATATGAGTACTTGTTAATAAACAAAATTTTTCTACTCTTCACATGTTATATAAATATACCTAAAATCTTCATTCTTGCACATTTATTCAGTTCATCGCAAAATATTGTCAAAAAACAAGCACGATTTTTCAGCAATCTGACCCTCCGGTCCCCTTGAAGGCTACCATGGCTGAAATTTCACCCCATGCAAATTTTTGATCTTCTTAAAAAACGTAATCACACTGACAATATTAATTTTATAGGTATTTATTCACACACACACACACACACACTATCGACAGTGATAACGTTACGGACAAAGCAGATCGCGAATTCTCGCATGTACTTTGCTACAAAGGTCACAAGAAAGGTTAGCTCGGGGTGATATTTGACGGTAGCTCCTAGGGACTAATTACCGCGCGTCGCTTGATAATTTGATGACGCCAAGTGGCCTCTAATTCCTTCGCTCCTGCGGCACTCCGGTGAACGAGTTTGTAGCTTCTCGTCCCGCCGCGTCGTTTGAAATTCAAATGCCTCCGGAGTAAGCGTCTCGCAGCGTGTACGAATGAAGAGAGGGAGAGCGAGAGAATTTCACGAGACACGGAAGATATTATATTCTCGCACTAGAACGTTAATCGACGCGCGCTACCTTCAAACACACGAGCGTCATGCGAACAAACACACGAATTTGCAATAAGCGAGAGCCGAGCGGCGTAACACAGCTACCAATTACTGTCCACTCCCTCGGGAGAGGGAGAGTGGAGCATTGGCACCGTCGTCGGGTACCCGGGTACCCGGGGGCCAGGTAGAACCGGCATCTAGCATTCGGTGGTATCGCGGCAAGCCGTCTGCGGCGCGACGTCAAAAAGGCACGACCGCGTCTTGGGTGGGCGAAGCTTGTCGAACGGAGACCGCGTCACGACCCCGACTGCCGGCTCCTCGACTCGGACAATTGACGCCGAGGGGAACCCCGTTGCACCGCTCCGACGGCGCAGCGGCGATCATTTGGCGCGTCCGGCACTCGCGTGAATGACATTTCTACCGATGTGCACGTCGCGACGTCGATCCTCCCGATGGTCGTCGCCGCCGCCGCCGCTCATTCCCGCCGCGCGATCACGCGACGTGAGTTTCTTTCTGCTGACGAATCGCTGAGAGAAGGATGCCTGCGAGCGGCGTAGCCGCGGTCACACCCGGAAATATCTCCAGGCGAATGAAGGTGAGTTAT